ATATTCTAAAGAAGAAGTTTAATATTTGCCCATGAAGGAAAAAAAAGTTTTCATTTCAATGTTGCTTGTCTTAGACTTGGTTAAGACGATAAAACTACCTTGTTAACTTACTCTTACTAATCATAGTCATCCATTGACAAGTAATTGCCCAAGATCTTTCCAAAGAAGCTTTTATTGACGTTTGATTTTGGAGAGATAGAGAAATGATTTTATGAGAAGATTTTCAGTGTGAACATAATCAAAGAAAACTGTCCAGGCTCAGTACAGAATTGAGGATCACCGGGAATAAGTTTCACAAGATACGGAAGGAGCTGTTGAGAGGAAAAGCACCACCCACCTGAGTTTCCTTGGACAGCCATAAATCAGTGATAGTGAAAGCATAATTACGTACTGATGTATTCATGGTTTTAGTTGTATTATAACGTTTTAAGTGATCTTGGATTGCTAATACTTTCATTGTATGTCGTTTGTTACACAATGTGATTTGTATTAAACTGTGCTCTATGAATGCTATATTTTCCTGTTATGATTTGCACTTGTGACATTACGTATCACCGTTATAAATAACTGAATGATCTGCTTTTATGTTGTTTCTTCTGCTGTTTCTCTGTTTAGTGTCGTCTAACGTCATGATTCAGTTCGTTAAGTTGAATTAATATCTAAACTTAATTATTAATTTTAATTCACTTAAATACAGCTGAAACAATAAAAGGAAGACTATGATGATCGTACCTAGTTAACATATCATTCTATAACTTAATATTGAGAACATTCTAAATTCATTTAACATTTCCAAATTGTAGTTGTCTGAAGACCAACGATCCTGGACTATCTCTATGTGACATGATACTGTTTAGCTTCAATATCTGGGAAGCCGACCTTCCTAGGTTGTTAGTTCGACTTTTGCAATTCATTCCACAATATTTCAGCGTGACTGAATAAAACGAGAAAAGCATAATATTTTTTGTTCTCTGATTTTACCTGTGTTTTTGAATTTCAGTAGCTATTTCAGTCTTGTATCAAATATCATCCAGTTTAGATCACGGTCATGGTTAAGTGAAGATGTGAGGTTTCGTTGTTTAATGTTGAAGTGTTTTCTTTGTGGGTGTGTCTCAAGTTATAACAAGATTGCAAAAACATGAAAGTCTGTGTGTGAGAAGTGCTCTGTTTCATAGCCCAAATACGGAAAAGTGAAATAGTTTATTTAGTAAAAGTTTAAATTATTCACTTGTGATAAATAACTCATTTATATATTGTCATAGATACATACTTATACAAACCTCTCCTGAATCATCATATTCGTTCCATCCTTAACTCTACTCACTATAAAGTTATCAGCTTTAACTCATAAGTTTACTCAATACATATATAGTGAATTGTATTTCCTGGTCTTATTAACTAGTATTCTTTTATTCTCATTGATAGTGCCCTAATAGTGGACCCTGTATACTCCTTTGCACAACAACGACATGAAAACTGTATACGACTAATGTCTACTTACTGTTTGAATTACATAATTAGATCCAAATCAAAAAGATTTTATTTTAAGAATAAGTCTTAGAATTAATCTAATTGAATTTGCAGATGTATCATTGCATAAAAGATCACTGAAGTGTTTTGTGACCATTGCTTTTTGAATAGCATTCTTGTGTAGTTGTTATATAAAGCATACAAGATTGAACATTAATAATTTCTATGAGATGTTAGTATTAACTGTAATCTGATAGAACACTATTTATACGTATATAAATACTGTTTTTTTCTTTCTCACGCTTTTTTACTCCACGTCATATGTGAAATCTTAATATTTCATGAAATTAATGATCCAGTCATGATCACTTAGTATTATTGTTAGGGTTATTCATTTGATATTGCATCTCTCTAATTGTAACATTTTCATGTAAAGATAACAAAATACCACTTTCATGAAATAGTTGTTTTCAAACGAGACCCAAAACTCGATTTTTTTCGAATAGTTCACTAATCTTATCCTGACGAAGAATAATGAACTATTCGAAAGCGCTCGAGTTTTGGGTTTCGTTTGAAAACCATTACAACTTGTGTATGCGATCCTGTGTGCTAACCTTTTAACCAGAATTCATGAAATAGTGTTAAGTAACAGACTTGAACATGCATCTAGTAGGTTAAGTATTTTTAATCATGGAATGAAAAATTCAATGTTTACTAATCGGATATCACACTTTTCATGAACATTGTTCAAACTGAATATCAACTGTGTTGCTTGTTTTATTTTACAACTTTATTATTATCAAATAGCAAACTCTATAACCATTAAAATGTTAGATGCATAGTTCGTAACAATGGAAGACAAAAACAATTCAATGATAAATAAGAACTTCTACCAGTTGCTATTGTAACAGCAACTTGTCTAATAATGTTTTCAACATAGTTAACCATAACTAGAAACGAATGAGATATCTTGAATATATTACTACAATATATACTTAAATGAGGCTTTAACTAACTCAATATTACCTTAATCTTACAGAAATGGACAAATTTAAATCTTGAGCTTAGTTTTTATGTGAAAACAAACCCACCCATATTTTCTAATTACAATATAAACATCTTTTCAAATATATCAAGCTAATGTAAATCACACTGCAACAATTTAAAAGTGGTTGATTCAGGGACACGTTTACTAAGATACACAATCAATAGGGGTCTTGGTTAACCACATACGCATGTCTTAACTTCTGTCTCATAATTTAAATGTTATTGCAAGACATAAAATATTGTACTAAATTACACGTAATCGTCCCCAGTTATCACAACAAGATCAACAGTAACTCATCTTCACTAGTGTAACAACTTATGTAACACTTCACATTAAAATGTACTCATACACGTACGTAAATCCTCTGTCGACACATTTAATATAATACCAATGAACATTATTCAAATTCAGGTTTAAACTTTGAATTATTGAACATATTAGACCTGAATTAATTTGAATCTTAGGTTAAATCCTTTATTTTCTAAATCTTTTAATACAGACTTACACGAAAATCTTGGAGCAAAATTATTCCACGTTTCGGCAATTTTAAATATGTTATCGCAAATCAACTGTATTTCACTGTGATGTAGTACCCCGAATATTTTCAAAGTAAATTCTTAACTCCCATACTAATAACAAATTGGTCGTATTTGTAAATGAAAGGGAATTATGATAAATTTACCTTATTTAGTATGTAAGATATTATTTCTTCCTGGCTTATTACTTTGTGTATATGAATAACACTGTACAGGATATACTTAGTCGTTTATTGTACATTAAACACACTATTTGAGACATCTCTTATCATTATAGCAGTAAATTGCTTCAGAAGTATGAAATCAGTAAGTTTTACCTTTAGTATCAATGATAAAAAGTCAGTAAGCCAAAACATTTTTACGAATGAAGCCTTCGATGGAACAATTTGAGTTATGTTTTCACAGGTCCTCAGTTTTAATGTTAATTATATGACAACATGAACCGACGCTAGGGGATGCTGCAATGTTCCCTCTAATTTTTTTTTCAATCGATGTGCGAATGGATTTTTCCATGAGCATCAGTATCAAGGTAATATGCGGATGTGCGCTACCAGTTTTTTTAGGGAAGGGGAGGGTATTTTTAGACCATTGACCCTATTGAATCATTAGGCCTCTTTGCAATGCTACCAGTTGGTTATTTGGTTATCGACTGTGAGAGTCATTAAAACCGTTAACGTGTTGAGACTTCTCACCATTACTGAGGATGTGTGGGGCTGGAATAATGAAGTGCGCGGCACTTGATTGGTTGTTGTACGGTCGCGCAGCCTAGACGGAACATTGGTGCTCGGGAGGACCTTACACCCCAAAATTTCACTCTAGCCCACCCAAGCTCATTCTCACTAGCGGTTTAAAAAATCACATTATCAATTTTCTTTTTAAATGTTAATTTTTTAATCGTTATGAAGAGTCAACAAAAAGCTCCACTGGAGATCCCAAGGGGAGAGGAGCTGGAATCGAACCTGACACTCCAAGTGAGAGGAGCTGGAACAAGGCTTGACCCTCCAAGTGAGTGGAGCTGGAACCGGGCCTGATATCTACGTACAAGTGGAAATTGCCTCCGGTCCCAATAAGCCACTTATTTCTTAAATCAGTTTTGAAAATAAAGTGATCACGTAAAGGCTTAATTTTCTAAAACCTATAATAAATAAATTTGAACCTTCTAAACAATAGACTGCATCAGACAACAACTAAGCCTTTGTGAAGTATCTGAATATATGTTTGTATGTATACATTGTTGATACAAAATATAAGAGTATTTTCATGGTCGATTTGATCTTTGTGTCATTGAGTTTTCAAGAGACTTTAGTCATCCAGATTGTTTTCTGTAAGGATTTAATAATGATGAAATAATTTGTAAATATTAAAACAAGGCGCAGAGTATATTGTAATATCTCTTACTGTTTGGTAATCTATAAATTTGAAATATTTTTTATTTCAATTATAATATTAGTACAACAACATTACAAATATCTGATTAAAGTATTTGGAAAATAATAATAATAATACAAAAGTATGCTCAGGTTATGTTGCACTATAATTTCACAATAATATTTTACTTTCATATCATGCAATTTCAAAGTCGAGGAGGTTGGTTAATAACTTGTTTCCCTGATTGTTTTACAACTTGGCCAGGATGAATGATTCTGTGTTTGAACAATTAATTTTGTAAGAATCTAAATTAGAGCTTTACTTTTTGTTTTGAATGCTATTATTTTTCATTAGACCATGTTAATTCTGTTTAATACAAAAGTAATGTCAGTATTATTAAATCACATGTAAATAAAATAATCACATTCAAATCTGAGTTTTTTCGATTTTTCCTATTTGTATTGTTTATACAATTTTCATCATGAAATAATTTATTTCCTTTCAATGTAGGAATAAACTGATCATTAAAACAAAATATTCTATAGCACAAAAGAAGACAAATAAAGATCATGACTTACGGGGTTACGCCCTCTACATCAAAGTCAGTAAAGGTAATTTGAACTCTCTCGGTTTTTCTCCCTATAAAGGAATAGTGACATTCTGTGTTTCTAGGATACAATCCTGGATGGTTGGGTGAACAGAATGTTCCGTTAGTTTGTTCCCAGCTATTGAAGATGAAGCCGCATACTGTAAATCATGTTATTATTTGAGTTATAAAATTATATATATCTCTATCTCTAAACAAGCCGATTAGTAAAAGATCTAATCAGATCAATAGCTCATTTATTTTAACCAGACATTACCTTGATTTTATCTAATTTTGAATCTATTCTTACATATTTTTTAAATATCAAAACCCCTTTTTAGTAAGAAAACCATATCATACATAAAGCTAATATTAACTTTCGTATGGTTAGCTTGTATCAATTATAAATAACTAACTAATATAACCTAAATCTTACATATAATGGTAATGTTTAAAAGATAATTCTAACATTGCTTCTTTACCAACTCTACTCTGTTAATCAGGTACTGACTCATTGCCAACATACTTAACTCGGGAGCGAATAACAATATATATATATATATATACACACATACACACCTTT